ATTTCAGTTTTAAACTTCTTGTCTAAATACTTTATTTCCAATCTGTAGCTTTTGATGTGTGCTGTGGTGTAATGGATAGTGGCTCAGAATGAGAAATCGGAGAGCAAAGTTCAAATTCCAGTTGAGCTTGTTGCATTCACTTATACACAAATATCATTGGGAAAGGTATGAATCCACCTCTTCTTCTCCCAGCTATGGGTTGAATAGCAGGACAGACTAGATCCTCTAGCCTTGGTTGGCAACCAGTCTAATGCAGAAAGAAACAACAATCTACTTTGGGAAAATCTCTTGCTTATTCAGTCATGAATCAAAAGAGACATGATCACCCAAGTGTGGATCATATATGACACTTAACTGACGGACTGTTTTCTAATGGTTGTAGACTGACAATATGAGCAAGGTTTTTTTGACTTTTTTCTAATGTTCACCCAATATAAGGCTCAAGAGCCATTCAAAGTAGAAGGTTACTAAATGAGGTAAGTTGTATAGGAGGAGGTGTAGGGAATAATGATTGAGGATATGGAGGATAGATAAAAATTGATCCTGGACTTGAAGTTGCAATGAAAAATTTCTACTCAAACATTAGAAATAATGTTTAAGAGATAATGTTGGATTAAAAAATTATATTGTGTAAATAAAAAATAACTAAAATTAATAAGAATACATAATAGTCAAGAATTAGTAATGGTTGACAACAGGGCTGACCTCAGGATCCAATTAGAAACATTTTTTGCAAAACTCCATCTTCATAGCAAATGTCTTAATAAAAGATCTTCTATGTAAATTTACATGTGTCTAACTTTTTCAGAGTAATATATGTTTAACAGCAGTACTTGTAAAGATTTCACAGTTTTTCTATTTGAGTTTCCTGATTAATCATAATTCTTGAGTTAATGATTGAATAAGCTCTTTGCAAGTTCCACTACTATAAAATACTCATGGAAATTCCCCCTTAGCATTGTTAAATATTTGATTAGTATTTTAAATATTACAATAACAATAATACATATGAATGCAAGTCATTATTTAAAGAAGTAGCAGTGTACAAATGAAGAGATTCAAAATTGACAAAGTTTTTCATTTCATTGAAGCAGACATTAAACTCATGAGAGTGTCATCACCTCCTCTATTTTCACTTTCTTGCTATGTAGGTTTTCTTTTTCTCACCTAAACCAAACAGCATCTCTGATATGTATTTTACTTCCAGCTTTCTTCATGATCATAATGGAATGGCCCATTATTTATCTGAGGCAATGGCAGGAGTTAATGAGCATACTAACTTACGAACAAAAGATCAAGTAGAATAATTATATGATGCTGTTCTATAATTAACCTTTTTTAATTCAAGTACTGTAGAAAGATAAATATAAACAGTAAAAGTAAACCAAGAATTCAATAAATAAATAAGTAAACTTGCCATTCTTTGTAAAGCATGAAAGGTGCATTTAGGTGTATATTTCAATGTGTTATTGTGTGTATTTGGCAAGACAGTTACTATAGTCAAGCCCCTTTTGGTATGCAGTTTCATTGAGAGCAATATGACCAGTTTGCATAAAGCTGGCAATTGTTGACAGTATTGTTTAGTCCAGTCCTGGGCAAACTGTGGCCCGTGTGCAGCCCTTTTGGTCTTTCTGAATGACCTGCTTAATTTCATAAGGAAAATAATGTTTCTTAAAATTTTGTTTCCTTCTCACTTGTTCACTCATGCAAAAACACATACAGTCATATACATAAACAATGATTAAGTACAACATTTCTTGAATTTTGTAAAATTTGGGGGAAGTAATATTTTCATCATTTTAACCTATTAGTGATTTTCACTAAGGAAGTGTAAAGATTCTTTACCTTTGAAACATAATAGTTTTTCTCTAAAGAAATATACATTTCTATTTTTAAATGAATAAATTAGAAATAAATCACACACAGCGACAACTTTTAATCGCAGTCATCAGTGAGAATATACCAAGACTTTAATTTTTTATTATAGAAAAATATTTTCTCCAAATAAGTGAAAAAAAAAAAAAAAAAAAAAAAAAAAATCATCAACTTTTCCCCTCCCATTTTTTTATGCATATAGTCTTTTGTATCTGTCTATATATGAGATGAGGTATTATGTACACTATTTACATTATTCAGACTATTGTCCTCATCTTTGTCGCCATATTTATTACAACGTTTCGGCCGTTGTAAGCTCTGGCCTTCTTCAGGTGGTTGGAATGTCGAACTGAACCCTTTATTTCGCTCACTGGGGTAGACTGTTCTAGTTCCACGTTTAATGGATGTCAGTTATCAGTTATCTCCTGTTAATTCCCATCTCCAAGTTCTCCACTGCCTTAACCGGGTATTGAGTTCAATACCCAGTTAAGGCAGTGGAGTGAAATAAAGGGTTCAGTTCGACATTCCAACCACCTGAAGAAGGCCGGAGCATACAATGGTCGAAACGTTGTAATAAATATGGCGACAAAGATGAGGACAATAGTGCAAATAATGTAAATAGTGTGGTATATAGTCTTCTGTAGTGAAAATAGCTGAGGTACATACTACGAAAAATTACCTTGAATTTTTTTTAGTAGTGCGGCCTGCCTTGTGATAAGTCATAGATCATGCGACCTACAGCTAAAAAAAGGGTTGTCCATGTACAGTTTAGTTTATTTGTTCTTTATGCAAGTGTTAAACTGTTTAACCTAAAAGTAAACCGATTTGAATGATAGATGGCCTCTTCTGGTCAACAGTGACTCTCCACAACTTCCTACCCTTTGAAGCTCTTAATAATGTTTGTCTTCTTACTATCCCTTTTTCCGGTCTGCCATTCATTCACAAAAACATGTCAGGTGGGTGCCCTCTACCAACCAGTCTCTTTTGCCTTCAATACGTCCTGTCAATGACAAATTTTCTAAACCCTCCTTCATCATTATGTGTCCCATAAATTTCTTCCTTATTCTGAATATTACCACAATTTTTTGTTGCTATCAAGAGAGAGGGCGTTGAAATTTTAAATTAATTTTATATCAAAACTCTTATTTATGAAAAAAAAAAAAAAAAAAAATTAAAATTTTAGCGCCCTTTCTACTTCGTACGTATGTGTAGTCACATCAATATGAACAACTTTTTTAGTCCGATGAAGTCCTAAATGACGAAACGCGTCGCACTAAAATTATTTCCACTTTGTTATAGATTTTCCTAAAATTTTTCTTGATAAATTTCTCGTTTTCCCAAAAAGCGAGAGAGACAGACAAACTGACTGTTTGTTTTGCTATGGTAGATGCACACTAAAAAAAAAAAAAAAAGATAAAAGAAAAAAGGTGGGGGTGTTTTTTTTGTTTTTTATAACCCATGTGGCAAATATAACCAATTTTATTGATCTTCACTTGAGTGTTCCAGAACCTGCACTTGATGAAAGGGACTAATTAAAAATATATATTTAGTTACCAATGAATAAACAGAAAAAAAAAAGAAAAAAAAAAGGAAAAGAAAAAAAAAAGGAAAACGAAAAATTAAATTTTCTAACGTATCGGTGTGCACAACAGAAAAAAAATAAAGGTTTTTTATACATTACATTAGGAAATTTTTTCACTTTTAAATCTGCAATAATTTCAGAAAAACGTGTCAGTTGTAAAAAAAAAAAAAAAAATGTCTAGAGTTGAATCACTTAGTAGCGGGAAATAACAAATCATTAAATAAAAATACTCATTAATTTTAAGAGTTTCCTTTTTATTGTAAAAATAACTTTTCGAATTGTTATCATTTTTTTTAAACAGTAAAACAAAAGACTTAAACTTAAAGTAATGAGCTGCACCAACCCAGCCTCAAATCTTCAATAAGACTAAAAAAAAAAAAACAATATTATCTAAAAAAAAAAAAAAAAATTTAAACTAGCAAACACACATACATACGAAAAGGGAGAAGTTCTTTGACAAGTGATTTTTTTTTATAAAAGCATGTTTATTAATATTGTTTGTTTATTTTATTTTTTAAAGAAATGTTCTTCTGGGGCTGAGTAAATAATTTATAATTTTGTTTGAGTAGAGATATCTCCATTTATTAAAAAAAAAAAAATCACAAAAATGAAAACGTGGCATTAAAAACAAAATAATAACACTGGCCAAAGATCAAGGATTTTTATTTGAATCATTATGCACATTCTAAATAATAAAGCTAAAAAGCAGTTTTTATTTAATTTATTTAAAACACTTCTGGAAACAGGATTTTAAAACTAAGTTACTAAATCAGCTGAATTTTTTTAAAAAAGAAATCAGTAAAGTTGTATTAATTGAAAATAAAAGTGAAAGAAGAACATTTTCTTTTTTTTTTTTGGTTTTTTTTTTTAAAGAAAGTCTAAAAAAAGTTATTTCTTAAAAAGAATAATAATAAAAAACAGAATTGTCGTAATTGAGCCAAATTTTCACGACTTTTTTAAAAAAATTAACTAACACTATTTTAGATTTGTCAAACAACAGAAGTGGGAACTTCTTACATTCCTAATTAAATTTCAAATTTACTAAACTAATGAAATATATTTTTTAAAACCTTTTTTTTTTTCATCAACTAAGCTGTGCCCCAAACAATTTCTCGTCAAACCACAAAAGAAAGCCACAATTTAAAACAAAACCTTTATTTGGCCTTAAAGTGGTTGAAGGGTCGTTAAGCAGAAAAGAAACCAAAAAACCTTTAAAAAACTTAAGAAAAGAAGTTTAGGAGATTTTTTAAACAAAAACAATAAGCAACCTTTGCTTTTATTTTCAGCAATTTATTGTAGATCGGTTTCCTACCTATAGTACCAGATATATTTTTACACTACTTTTAAGATGACAAAAAAAATTGTATCAATAAGTACAAAAAATCATAAACGTTTTTTTTTTATTTATACTGGGATAATTAAATTTCAGCACTACAATTTTTTTTCTAAATAACAATATTTTTAGAGTAATAACCATAAAAAAACAACAGGGGAAAAAGGTAAATGTGAAAATATAGGTAATAATACATTTTGTTTTACTTACCTTTCAGCTGGTTTGGTCGAGGCACAGGACAAAATGAAAAGTAAAACGATTATGTACATATCGTGCAGACGACATGGATATAAGAATTTGGAGGCGATACACAGTGATGATGATGATGATATTAAAAATGTTATTATATCCAAACCGGATCGAATAGGAACGGGGAAGGAAGAAGAAAAATCACACGTAGCAACGAGGTAAAAAAAAGAAAAGAAACGACGACAACAGATGGAGGGGGAACAAAACTATAAAATATATAATAATTAGCAACAAGGCACCATGTTGTTAGGAAGCATCACTCACGTGACACGGACATGCCGCTCACAGGAACTACTCATAGTTACCTCCCTTGTCAAAGGCTTTTCGTCCTCAATTATTCCCCTTGGAGGATTTTTTTCAAAGGTGCACCCATCTCAGTCTCCATGAACAACTTCATACATAACTATTGCAATAACTACGAGACCACTATGAGTAATTGTATAAAAATCACATCGGAATTTTACATGGATAGACAAGTAATATATTAAACAACAACAACAACTCTCTCTCTCTCTCTCTCTCTCTCTCTATATATATATATATATATATATATATATGAGTATAATCTCAGTAGTGGATGTGCACTGCTGATGAGTCCCAAATAGGACAGAACGGCCATCCAGTGCTTTATACTTTCTGTTGAGAATTCTTCTAGAATTGATGAATTACTTTTTAGTTATATATATATATATATGAAGAAAAATACTGAAAAAACAAACAAAAATCCTTAAATGTAGTTAAAATGAATGAAATGTCGACGTCTGACGTTTCGGTTTAATAAACCTTTTTCAAGACAATATTCATTAAAATCAATTCAGTTCAATATGACAAATACGATGGACATAAAAACACAAGTCTTATTCAAAACAGATAACTGAAAATTTTTAAAATGATCAGCCTTCCGTCTAACATGGTCACGCCGTCGTCACATATATATATATAACTAAAGTAATTCATCATTAATTATAATTCATCACACACACACACACACACACACACACACATATATATATATATATATATATATATATATATATAATTAATTATATTCATCATAATTATATATATACATATATATATATATATGTATAAGTGAATTAGTGAATATACATAATATCCAACATTGATAGCATGAATCGGAGTTTCATGTAGTTTCTTTATACAATCGTATAAGAAATAAGTATTAAATATTAGTACAAGCTTCAATGTTTTAAACTATATACTGTAAATATTTTAAAACATTTGTACAGTATTCATAATTAATTTTATTAAGGTTTGGTTTTAATTTTTTAATATAGATAGCTTAAACATAAACTAAAAATTCTTGAAGCTATTTTATCACACATATTTTATTTGAATATTTCACATTAATCACACACACACTGGTGTTAATAAAATAGTTATTATATACATTTTATATAACATTTTATATAACATCTTATTATATACAGTTTATATAACATTTTATTATATACATTTTATATAATATTTATATAAAGTTTTATTATATACATTTTATAAAACATTTTATTATATACAGTTTATATAACATTTTATTATATACATTTTATATAACATTTTATTATATAGTTTATATAACATTTTATATAACATTTTTTGTATATACATTTTATATAATGTTTATATAAAGTTTTATTATATACATTTTATATAACATTTTATTATATACAGTTTATATAACATTTTATTATATAAAACATATAACATTTTATATAACATTTTATTATATACATTTTATATAATATTTATATAAAATTTTATTATATACATTTTATATAACATTTTATTATATACATTTTATATAACATTTTATAATATAATTTATATAATTTATAATTATAATTTATAATATTATAATTTGTTATATTCATTTTAATTATATATTAATAAATATACAATTTTTGCTCACCAGTTTCATGCACAACACAATCTTCAGGTGCTGAGTTGCTACCAGTCAGGAAAAAAAATCTATATTTATCAATAAAATAAATAAATAACAGGTGTAATATTGGAGGAATCGAGACTTTTCTCACACAGTATCAGTTACAGTGGACTGGTCATGTCTTGAGAATGTCTGATGACAGGATACCGAAGATCCTAATGTACAGCCAGTTAGATCAGGACTACAGGAATGTAGGACGCCCATGGCTAAGATACAAAGACCAGCTGAAAAGCAACTTGTCAGCAGTCAATATACTACATAACACTCTTGAGCGCTTAGTCTTGGAGTGGGTAGAATAGAGATCAATGTGTTTTAGTGGACTCAGCAGTTTTCAATCTGCTTGTCTGGATCATCTTCAAGAAGCAAAAGCACGATCTAAAAGGTCAGCCAATCTAACAGTGATCTCATCTCACAATCTTCACTCTTGCTCCATATGTGGCCTCCTTTGTAAATCACTAGCAGGTCTTAAGTGCCACTCAAGATTATCGCACAAAATTTCATAACTGAATCAATTAAGCTGTCAGATCCTCATACATCGAAACCGATGGGAGAGTCCATTATATATGTGTATAGAAAATTTTTGTCCTCTGACAGGAATCGAACCTGTATCCTATACGGAACCATCATATAGCCTGACGTGCCTTTAACTGTTTCGGCCACAGAGGAGTGTTCGGTTAGCAAGGTCGATTTTACTGTCTTTAAACTTTAATCTTCCATGAATTTCTCATGTACATTCATATCTGCTCATGGCATATTAAATGTAAACCAATGACGTCACACATTATATAAATGGACAAAGTCCGACAATTATTTTAAGACATTTTTATGTTTAAACATTCTTTTTATAGATACAAATGTTATAGACAAGCGTATGGTTGCAAGAAAGAAATACGACAACAGTAGAAATAGATTTACTTGGTTTCTTTCAACAGGAACGTGAGGGTTTGGGACAACTACCTTGTGGTAAAGTTCATAAGCCGGTTTCTGATCGAGGTCAACCTCTCATAGTAGTTCACACATGTTGACGGTGGTTGACGCTCCCCTGCTGTCAGCAGCTGAACGTGACAGGTCTCTATCCTGGGCACCTGTGGACTGACTGTTGAACTTCCGTGTGACCCCTTATAGCGTTTTTTATGGCTTAACAGGCTCGAAAAACGAAGCGAGTATAATTAGGGGGGAAGCATTTTTATTGGACTAAAAATAGATCACTTTAAATATTATTTTATTTTTCGACCGGAACATGTGTGTCGGGAACATTTGTAAAGAAAGATAATGGTCATTTTGTGACGGGGCTTTGTCCCGTTCACATCCAGTTCTCGCTCTTGAGTATTTGCCTGTAAATCAGCCGAGATATGTCTTATTTTATTTTATAACAAGGCTCCCCCAGATCTCGGTCTCATTTACAGTGAGCGTTATTGGTGTATATTTGGGTGATTAATTCATGATAAAGTCTCTGAAGCGTGTGGGAAGTTGTCCTCGTGTTCTTCTTATTGGCATTTGTTTTGGTATGGGGTTATTTGCTGAATTATGTGTCCCCGAGGGATGTGGAGGAGAATGATCCTGGTGACTGTTACATGGTGGAGGCAGAGGGATTGTATTAGAAAGATGTGTTGGGCGTGGAGCCAGTCGTCGGATATGTGCACAGTGAATCCAGATAGTATCACCATCATCGTTTTGCACCTGACACATCATATTTTTCGTTTTTATAATTGTGTAATTTCCTATCCAGGGCAGATGAGAGGATTGGGCAACAGTTGAGTGTGGCCGATGAAGTAAAACCTTGTCGCCTACTTGTATTGGTCCTTGTATGTGAGGCGATTTAAGTTAGTCTCAAGTTTGTGGTCAGCTTCATCGTTGGCCAGGGTGACGTGGTGGTGAACTTGCTTTAGCAGGGCATTAATTTGCATTACATATGCTCCAGGATCGTCGCTTGTGATTTCTTTCCTGTGTAGTGTAGGTAGGCCGATGTTGGGGTGACGGCCGGTAATGGCATAGTGCGGGGAGACACCGGTGGTGCTGTTGGTCGTGGCATTCATGGACGAAACGACAGATTCTAGAACGTCTGTCCATTCACAGTTCCTGTCTTCGCATAAAGTGCGTTCTTCGTCGTGCGATGTTGTCTCTCGATATTTCCTGAGCTTTGCGGGCGCCAAGGACAGTGAAGTTCTTGCGTGATTGACATCTGGTTACAGAATTGTCGATAGACTTCTCCAGTGAAGTGTGTGCCTCGATCAGAGGATACTATGCGTGGAATCTCTCTGTGTCGAAGGAAGAAATGGTACAATCCGCGGGCGGCGTCGATAGCACGGTCTCTCGCGCATGGTATGGCTGTAAAATGTCGGCTGAAGCTATCCAAGATGGTTAGGATGTAGCGTTTTCCCTTTGAGTTGGGCATTGTGACAAAGTCTATAAAGACGAGATCGAATGGTCTCTTTCCTCGTTTGCAGGCCAATGGGCCAGTGGGTACGTCTACCGTAGTTGCCCTTGCACTTATCACACGTGTCGCAAGAATCGACATAGGCCTTGATGTCGCGGTTTTTGAATTCCCACCAGTAGCTGGAAAGGAGTTCTCGCATACGGGTAACACCTGAGTGGTTGTTGCCCTCGTGTGCCTGGTAGAGGTATCTGGGTCGTAGTTTGTATGGTACAACCAATCTCGGAGAGTGTTTACTCTCTCTTATCATCAAAACGGAGGTGCCTGGTTCTAGAAAAAATTGGTGCAAATGTTTTTTGAAAAGCGTAGCTCGGTGGTCGTCAGGATCGATATGAGGTTCGCTTGGAGTGGGTGACTGGAGGGCGCTGATGATTTTTGCCAGGGTGTCGTCCTTCTATTGTTCATCTGCGATGCCGAGGTGGGGATGGTGGAGTGATAGGCGAAGAATGCGTTGGTGGCGCGCTTGTGGCTGCGAGCGTTTTGTGGTGTGTGAGTTTTTGGAATGAGCTGTAAACCGTTAAACTCGCCGAGGCACCAAGATGGGATGTATACGCGGAGGTCTGAACCGCTTACCTCGAATGTCCTGCCTGCGGGTGTAGGGTCGTTCGGGTCTTTCGTTTTCTTATGTCCGCAGCCTCTGCTGAGCATGTCAGCCCATACATTTGATTCGCCTTCAACATATTCCAAGACGAATTTATAACATGAAATTTCTTCTTGCCATCGTCGTATTTTGGCATTATTGAACTCTCGTTGGTCCAGATATGTCAGCGATCTGTGGTCGGTGAAGATGACGAAGGGTCGGTTGCGAA